TTCAATTCTCTATCCAACGATGCCAAAACGAATTCTCTGGCTCGAGTGGTTCTTGAGAAACTTCGAAAAAAGCAGCGTCATGTTCAAGTGGATTTTACAACTCAAAAAAAACGCAAATCTAAAACTTCTTGAATTCAAGCATTTTTTGAGAAAACTGCCAACATTTCCTTATCGATGGTTCACTTTCTAAAAAGGCCGTTTATTTCTGTCTAGAATGATGAGTCTAGAGGCTGTGACAGGGATTGCAAATAAGTGTAAAATAATCCCGAGAATTTTTCCTCATTTTTAGATCTCCTGCGTGTGGAGCGTCAAAGCAAGCTCAATAATACACCGACAGAAAGCCGCTAAGAGTAGTTTGGGTAAAGTTGGGTTTTTCCGCTCCCGCTATTCATCGCTCGCTCATCGATCCTCTTATTTTAAGGGTTTGCGCTTCCCCACAGAACATCCCCCCAGACTACTCAGTATAGGGGGGATATTTTGTGTGCTTACCTTAGGATACCTATATGAATTCAGGGATAAATCCGATTTTCGATAAGCAATTTAGCCCCTCTAAATTTTGTAAAATTGCTGATGTTCAAATGGAAATAATGATGTCTGCTACAAACTATTTTTTAAATCCACGCAAATTTCATGTTTCATGTAAGCATATGAGCAGAGAGTAGGAATATGTATTACCTCGGTTGATTTTGAGTTATTCTCCGAAGAGCGGCTTTCAGGTGACTCCAGGTGTCGTTTGAGTCCCTCCGAAATTTCAAAATGCATCCATGCCTTATAAATAAAGCGAAGAATGTCTCTACGCTACCCCATGCAAGATACCAGAGGCCACGCCACTGTTTACTTCGTGCTCCCATCCCAGCTGTGCAGACAGACTTGTTTCACAGTCTATTTTCAGTCGAAGTTGGTCGAACTGTAGTTTAGTAGTGTTGAAGTACCAAAATACTGGTACCTCAATCAGACTAATTCTGTGTCGGGAAATCGGCCATGTTGTTGCACCTCGAACTAAACCATGTCTTTGTTAATGTGCGGAACTTGTGGGGCAACGGAATAGATTTGTTTTCGCTGAAGAACCATCAGTAAGTGGCATCCGAGTCAGGGAATTTCCAATGTTGGCTGGCAATTTTTCTAGCAACATATTTTATGTCTATGAACTACCGTTTATGGCATTTATGATGATTTGCATAATGCACAGAGTTCCCCTTTCAAAGAAATTAACGTGTCTATTGTTAATTAGCTATTGAGAGCTTGATGTTTTGCTTGGAAATAGTCAATCGAGCGAAGCGAAAAAAAAGATTAAGGTTTCAAACTTAATTAAATTGCTTCTGAAGTGTAGGTACGTTGTTAAGCAGAAATCAGAGTCGTACCAGCAACGGAATAGTCTCAGAACAGTTGATCAGTTCTTCCCGAATGAATACAGAGCACAGTCCCGAACGAATACAAAATGAGTACGTTTAGGGCACAAGCACGTAGGCATTAAAAAAGTAAATTGATTGGAGCCCAAAAGGCAATATTTAATTGACATTAGTTAAGCGCGGTTTTCTTCACATATATTCTACTCCTGATCCCAATCGCAATGCAAAAACCCCGAATTTTACAATTTTTTGATCATCCATCGATTAGTCCTCAAAATTTGGAAAGGCCCTTGTAAGCAACGGGACTACAAGAACTGTCTTGCTATTTTTTTACAAACTTCTTTTTGGGTATTTCGCCTCAAAAATTTTTGTCTTTAAAAAAGACAGAATTTTCTCACGTCTTTTATTACAGATTTTTCGTAATCTATTTCGTAATAAGAACGAATTATTTATCAAAAAGTAATCAAGAACTATCACCTAGTGGGTATCCTGCGAGACACTTAGGCTCAAGCTGTAAGAGAAAATTCCAATTAATAGAGAAATTAATTTGAAAAATTACCTTGACGTTTCCATAGCTATTTTCTGCTATCGTTATCAAAAGAACCTAAATGAACCTAAAAAAGAGTATGTTAATAAATTGTGTAACAATAGTAGAATAATACAATATATAAAAATTCGCTCTGGTAATTCGTCTGTGCAAATTGTCAGTTATGTGACTTTGACTTAATCTCATTGTTTAAATTAATAAATGTAATATTAATTAATAATTTTGGTGTAAATTTGATTTGGGTGTATGTTTCTCTGGTCTACTTCACATTTTAGCATAGGTAACCATGTATGGCTTAAATTAAATGAACATGAAGCAACACAATTATTTTGATTTAGTAAAATTAGTGCGCTTTCTTTAATTTTACGTTTTTT